TACCAAGGAGAAAACCACACCCCCACTCACACTGGCAGAGCATGCTACTGTATATAAACAGGGAGAAAACCCCACACTCACTAACACTGATGAGGTTACCTAGTCATGTAATGAAATGTCTGCAACCAACCAACCAACCTACCTCAGAGAGCACCAAAGACTCCATAGTTCAACCCTGAGCTGTCTGTTCTTCTCAGCAGAGAGTCACCCCCATATGATTGTTTGTCTGGGTCAGTTGCTGGATTCCTTACCAGACCTCTGGGATTCTCTCCCTCCTTTCTCTGGGATACCGGGTGAAAATCCTTCTCCTGAAGCCTGCAAATCACTCTCCAGAGAACACACCTGAAATTGATAGCACAGCTTTAGCAACAGAGACTGCCTCCTGGTTCTCTTGGTCCTCTGAGTTACATGCTGCCAGCCCGCTTCCTCTGGAGATTTTGCTTTCTTTGCTTTCCTTCCTCTGTCAGTTTTGGAGACACCCTTCTATGATATTCAGAAACTCTTTGTCTTCCCTGATCAGTTTCAGTATGTCCACATGTACCTCAGCTCCTCTACTTTCTCCTCTAGCAGCATAATAAATTTGCACTTGGTGGAGGTGTAGCTGGAGTTCTCTTCAGACAGGAACACAAACATGGCACATCCCTTGTAAGTCACCATAGTATTTTCCCCCTTGTCCATATCTATGAATCTCCAGAAGATTGTGCAGCTCTAAACAGCTCTTTCTTTTGCACAGTCTCTTGCCTAAATGTTCCTGGAAAGGAAAAGAAAAGTCCTGTTGGTTCTTCCCCATCTCACAAATCTGTTCAAGTTCTGTTCCAGTTGTGTCAGGAGACAGAATTACCTTTTCCATGTCTACAGGCCAGTTATAATTTTCTATTGCTTCAAACATTGATGGGTAAGAAATAAAAAAATGGAGCAGTCCTGAACAGTGAGTATTATCAATCTGTTTTCATTCCAGTTCAAAGGCTGTTATTGCCACTTCTCCAAATATGAAATATCTCTGTCCCCTTCCCTTTGATGTTGGATGTTATGACTTTTATATCATAATTGCTGTTATATAGAAAAGGAAGATTAATGTTGATAGAGTTTAAGAGCTGTTATTCTGCCCAAGTGGGTAAGTATTATTTTCCTTTGGGCTAAGGTTAAGTATATATTTTAGAAGTTTTTAGAGATTCTTAGTTACCATTATTGTAAGCACTTTAGACCTCCTAAATTCAATTGCAATCCAGAGTGCAATTGGTTTGTAAGCGACATGGTAGAATAGTGGAGATTAGATGTTTAATAATTAACTTTCCATCTTATCAACTTCTTGAAGCTTCAGAAAAAGTTACTGAACGGCAAGTAAGACTTGTGGATTTCTGAGAAGTATCAGCACATTATATATGTTGCTAATGTGAATTGTTTTATTTATTTGTACATACAGTTGCAAGAAAAAGTATGTGAACCTTTTGGAATTTCATGGTGTTCTGCATTAATTTTTCAAAAAATGTAATCTGACCGTCATCTAAGTCAAGAGTATTGACAAATATAACGTGCCTAAAATAACAACATGAAAACAATTCTGATCCTTCATATCTTTATTGAACACACTCATTCAACATTCAAAATGCTAGGAAACAGTAAGTGAACCCTTGGAATCAATAACTGGTTGACACCCCCCCCCCCCCCCTC